TCAACTCCAATACCCAGAGACCTGATATATATATGTATATATTTTTACTATATATATATACTTTTTTATATATTTATTTACATGACAATTATAATATACCTCTTAAAGTTAATTACAATACATAGTATTAATGGAAAACACATTACTTTCTACAGGAATATATCATTAAGGATTTTTTTAAAATGTATTATTAAATAAAAAACAATCAAAATATGGGGGTCCTTTAGGGTTTTAATTTCAAGATCTAAGAATAAATCAACTAGAAATTATAAAAGATATATTCATAAATAATATAATATATCTATACATTGATATGAAATTAATTTTCCTTTCCTTCAGTTCCCTTTTATAATACTTAAATCTTAAATTAAAGCAAATTAAACATGATACTTTTATGATTTAGAGTGTTAATCTTGTTTAAAACATACTTGATAATATTTTAAAAGAATTAGTTTTATGTAATGAAACTCTAATAGTGTAATTCCTATATTAAAACTATTGAATGTAAATAAGATTAGGGTTTATTTTTAGTAAGTTTAAAAAAACTAGAAAAAAATTATTCTCTAAAAATTGTTAAAAACTGTTATATAAATAACAGAATTCTCGTTTTATAAATAAGATATCGGATAGTTTTAAAAATAGAATCAGGGACGACACTATGAAGCTACTGGGACTGTTGTCCCTACTCTTTCTGATTTAGGGATTTATAGGCAAGCCCTATTATTGTTTAGCACTCTAGAGAAAGAATTTAGACTAATTAAAATTTAATTAACGTTTATACTATTCTAGTTCTAAATCCGGAAGCCAAAAAAAAGATACTTAAAAATTTAATTAGAATGAATTTGTGTTTTGTTCCGTGGCACATAAATTTTTTTTGGCATTGCACAAACAGCGGCCGAACTCATAATGGTAAGGGACGGGATCCCGGAGCGGTAGGTCGTCATCCGTAACATCTCAGCAATCTGAATCGTATTTTGCAGGTAGAGTGTGGTTTTCTGTAACCCCGTAGTAAATGGTCACAGGAAGATGATTTAGAAGTCATTGGAAAGAGAATCAGAAATGAAAATCCTTTTTCAAAAAAGTGAATATAGTTTCGGAGATACTTTAATAAAAATTTATGCACTGTACTGTACATACAATACAGCGGGATCATCACGTGCCGGCAAACGAGCACCCTCCCTACCTATGTGCCTGAAACGGGTGACCGAAGAGAAGGTTAATGCGTAAGCCTACCGATCTGAGGAATTCGTATTTGAATTCGCCGGTCGTAAAACCCCAAGAAGTTTTCGGAGATCTAGTCTGTTTCGGATATTTCAGGCCTCGTCCTTCACCCACCTGTATTATTCATTGTGGACCAAGCCACAAAAGAATTTGAAAAGGGCTTTATCAGNTGTCTAGATTAGAATTCAACTTTGGAAGGGAGAGGCGCAAAAAAAAGGAGGCGATAAGAACCCAGTCAGTTCTATCAGAGTACAATTCTAAGTAGAAACTGTTAAAAATCTTCTAAAATTAATTAAATATATTTTTTAAAGTAGCTTTAAAAAAGAGAGAATAATTAAAAATAAAATAAAATAATATATATATATATATATATATATTTGGCCTATTTATTTTAAACCGACTAAGCGATAACTTGACTAAAATTAATTTATTTTTAACCTTGTAGATAATGTATCAAAATCTCTGCGAATCGTTTAAGAAAATAGCATTATTACTTTTAGGCCAAAGATTGGAGTTTAATTATAATTTTCTAGATATATTAACCATTAAAAATGGTCGATTATAATTAATCTTAAACACGTTTAAACCTATATAAACGAGACGTTAGACTCAACAAATTGGATACTAAACTGCACTAAAAATGGCGGCTGTTTTAAAATTCGAGCATTTATGCCATAATTCGAACTGATATTACGTCTTAGTGTCAATTATAGACACAATACATTCCCCCTTATCTAGTACGTGTTCTGGTCTGAGATGTCATAAATAACAGATGACAACTTTGAGTGGAGTCAGCTGCTGATAAAGGAAAGAAAGGGGGAAGGAATCTTTACGGAAGTAAACCTTTGAAGAAGGTAAAAATTTATTATTATTATTATTATTATTATTAATTTCTACTCCTTTTTTCTATAATAAAATAAAATCGGATTAACATTTAAATACTAAATTAATATTAAAGACGGAAATTGTATCTAGTTTTACAATGGCGCGTGTATAGCTAGTGTAAATCCTATTTTTATCAACGTGTAAGATTACATTGATGGTTCCGGCAAACACCACAAGTGTTAGTTTATAAGTGAGACGATTTGTGGGACATATTGGACAGATTGACGTCAACGGATACCTCAATTTAGCTTTTTTAAAGTACGTAAGGGCGTATATAATGTTTCTGTTTGGCTCACCTGGGCCAACGATTTTTACTTTCTTAGTTATACAATTATATTACGTTAACAATGGCGGATCTTTAATGTTTATTCATCAGTTACCGATCGTGTTCGATACATCTGGACGTTATTAATGATCCTTTTGTAAGAGGAGCAATGCAGGTGACGCAAATATTGACGTCATTTACATTTCTTTTTTTCTTTAACTGGTTTAAAAAGGTGCTTTTTTTCTTTAAAAAAATGAATATTAAACACTACAAAAATTATTATTGAGCTTCATTTATTCATTATTTCTTTAGTAACAAATATGAAAACTTCTCTAATATATATATTTTTTCCTTTCGATTTTTAATCGAAACATGCTGTTCTTTGAAAATTGAACAGAGGGAGGACATAAAAAATAAACATATATTTTTTTATGATATTCATTTGAACAAAAATTTTGGTTAATTTGAAGAAATTTATGTGGTTTTTTTTTTCTTTTTGGTCTCGTAAGCTGTTATACGGTGGGCTTATCAAACATATTAACGGTGGGTCTATTGTCACTTTCTTTTTCTACAAAAATTATGGTTCTATTATTACTAATAGTAGCGATGGAGCCATCATAAAACGAAGCTCATAAAATGGTAGCTCATATCACAGATGTTTCGAAAATATGCCAAAATACAGGACAATTAAGTAACTATTAATGACTATTTACTTTTATTATAATCATATATCTAAGGGAAATAATTTGATTTTTTTAAGCTTACATATATATATATATATAACCAAAATACACCCATTTTTAAGATTAATGATAGGTGTTAACGAGTATAAAGAAAAAAGATAAAATAAGGAATTTGGCCTATCTGTGTTGTGACCCATCTTTGACTAAATTAACCACACGCTATATTATTATTATTTTTTAAATTAATTAAAGCTGTATTTCTCTTATTGCTGAGTCAATAGTTTTGAAGTTTTGTTCTGGTTTGTTTTAAAAAAAATCTCATTTTAAATGAGATTTTTACAATAAAACTTCAAAACAGAATGCGCTTTAAGACACGATTATATACAAATGAACACATTCTTCAACTTCATAGAATTAGCGCATTTTTTTTTCCGTTAGTTTCACGGAATCGAAACTTTTTAAAGTAATTACTTTTTTTATAATTGAGTTGCTAACTATATAGTTTTTTTCAATCACAGACTTGAATTAGACGGTCACACATTCATACACACTCACTAGAGGCTAAAAACTTCTGACCTAACATACCTACATCGACTACACAATCAGAGCTTGTTCCGAGTTCTTGTCCCGTCGATCGGGATAGGACGGGAGTTTTTTGTTTTTTTTTTTGTTTGTTTTTTTGGTTCCCATAGACTTTACATCCCATAGAATTCTGGTGAACTAGGGCTTGAAACACTTGAAAGTGAACCTTGACAACAATCGCGACCTCTGAGAACAGCAAACTGTTGTTTATAATAATCCCTTTCCTGACACGCTCTTTCTAACTCTTGTCTCAATCTGGCTACTTCAACCTGGAGTGAACGATTTCTTGTTTCCAGTTCGTGTCTTTGGGCTAGTCTTTTAGTTCGGCAGTTCTGTGCATAACCACGATTCTTCAAGGTTCTACGTCTCTGTTTCAATTTCACCACTTCTTCTCTTGGATATCCGTGAAGTTTTTTGTTCAGTTCTCGCACGGTCAAGTTAATTAATTGCTCGTTGCTTATACATGTTTCACCGTTTTCCAATATGCGACTGGAGTTGTAATTGTTACTCTGATGTTGCGGCTGTTGTTTCTGTTGGTGTGGTTGTTGCTGTTGCTGTTGTTGCGGTTGCTGTTGTTGTTGCTGCTGCTGCTGCTGCTGCGGTTGTTGTTGCTGTTGGTGAGGATTAACGGTAGCGATCGGACGTTGTACAACTTGAGTTTGACTCTGGGTAACAACAGTCATGTCGGTGTAATCTTTTCTAAACATCCATTCGTTGATTACTTCTCCCTGCGGCCTTAAGTCTAATGGTTCCGGTGCGTAACGCAGTGTATGCGTTAGCCACATCATACTATCGTCCAGCATGTTCGATGTTTTTGCATCCATCGCCGCGGGTGCCATTATCGGACTGGCTATATTTGTGGAGGGAACGGCAGCGAACGGAGGAGAAGGCGGTAGATTGTGATTGTCTGAAGGTGTGGCGGGCGTGCTGGCACTCAAAACGACCGACCTCCTAAAGGTAGCCAGATTGCCTATAGCACAGCCACCGTTCAGTCCCGTTACGTTGGTAGGATCGACAGTCGATGCTAGCCCCATTCCCCCGCCGTTTCCACTTCCGTCTTCCGACACACCGCAGTTCAGTGTTCCATATTTGGCGAAAGGTAATTCAATTTCGTGCTTGATAGCTTCGTCCATGTCAAGATCGAAGTCTTGACACGGAACTCCATACTCGTCGCCGATGGTTTCCGAGTCCTGTTGTTGCTGCATCGCTTCCATGGATAGCTGTGACAATGCCGACTGCACGTGTTGTACCTCGGCGCTGTCAGTCGGTTGACTGCCGTTGCAACTGGCGTCACATTCGTAACGATTCAAAATAGAAACATCGTCGAGTAGGCTCGACCTTGCCACGGATGCAGAGCAACCTAACATTCACCCATGAAGCGACGGGCTAGATATGCCCGTTTCTCTGGCTAACAGTCCCGAAGTCCAAGTCGCACACGCGCACTCTTTGTCACACTACACACGTGAGTTGTCGTGTTCGGTAGCTGATGCACCAATCGGGACCGCTTCACTTTCCACCGCTTGTTGGCAAAGTCTGATCGCTCGAATACGAATATCTCGTTCTTCGTTGATATTTATGATGTCCGTGTGACGTCACGCTGCACTCGGCCCGAGTGATATCGAGGGGTGTCTGCCAATAACTGGCCGTCTTGGGACGTGCTGCACGGGGGTGGGTCCTTCCGACAGACTTCAACGGACTCTGGGACGGGTGAAGTTAAATTTAATCAGGTAAGGCCATATAGTCTTCTGCATGGGGAAAATTAACAAACAAAAGTGTGCATGACAAGAAGTTATTGGCATTACGACCCCCACACTCCCTTTACAAGTTTGTACTGCGTTATTTATCCCCCAGAAATTACAACAGTTCGTAAAAACTATAAAAAAAAAATATTATTTAGCTGTTTCCTTTCCCTCGTCGTAGCCGAGCTGTCTAGAATAATTGCTTATCGTTTAAAGTTCACTTGTATTTTTCAAAATTTACTTTTAATTGCGGTGATAAAGTAGATAATATTATTGTTCGCTTGATACAGTCCGTTGAGAAATTAAGACATATTTATGAACGTCTCCATAGTTTATAATTTAAAAAAAATAAGCAATGATTAAATTATAAATAAATTTACTTAGCGGAGTTTAAAAAATAAATTTGTTACAAAGAAATGGAAGGGGAAAAAGGGGGAGAAGAAGTAGTGTTTTGTCGGGTTTCTCGAAATGAAGAGTACGAGTCTGACTACGTGCAGTACTTCTAGTATAAGGGATTATTAGCACGAATACCTTAGAAATGCCTTCAGTTCGTTAAGTCTATCCGAAAGTTAAGACTTTATCCAATCGATGGAAACAACGCATGCGTACCTCTATAGAAATGTATTCAAATGAAGATGACATAAAAGTCTTTGAAGGTCTCCATGCTTATCAGATTAGATGTTTGCTTGATGTATAGTAGGTCCTATCGCTAAACTTCTTCATCGAGAACCAAAAAAGAGAATTTTAATTCTCGAGAAAATAAAATATAAATAGAAAAATGCTTGAAATATTCACTTTTTTAAAAACATTTTCTGTAATATATAAACAAACTTAAGCACCTTTTAAATATTGTATATATATAACTTATATTTTTTTTCTCTTCTCTCTTTATGTGTGTGTGGTTTCTTTTTTTCGTTTGTGGACTTGTGAATGTCCGTGAACTATGTGACGTTTAGACTGTAAACAAACAGTCGATGTATATATACCAGTTATGTTATGAAGATAGAGAAGATGAAACATAGTATAGTTTTTAAAGTTTTTTTTTTCTTTCCTTGCCTCGTTTATCATATTTATAACGAATTCTTGATATATTAAAATGTTAATATTATGAGTGTTGAGGGATTTTCTGATTGGAAATCTACGAGAAGTGTAAATAAAAATTAAGCTGTAAACATTAAACAAATTGTGAAGTTTTAATTTATAAAATTTAAGCAGTGTTAAACATGTAATATTTTAAACGAGAAACAACTGATTCTCTGGTTTTAAATAGTAAGTATATGCAGATTTCATTATAATATCACTTTTTAAAGTTATAAATAATATATTTTCGTTTAAATTCATTAAAAATTCTTATTTTTCTATCAGATTTTCTTTTCCTGTTAGGTCATTCTACAACTTCTAAGAAAGTTTTTACTCACTTTCAATACAATTAAAAAATCTCCATATTTTCGAATTTATTTTAAACTAAACTACAAAAATAACTCAGATTTCTATATAAATCAAATATGAATTCAGTGAACGACCTAACATACATTATTAAGAATTTATGCGTTTTCACAATGTTCGTTTAAACGTAGCTAGAGTTATACTTTATTTCCATGTAAAACATGTAATTTTTCATATTTTTTAGGAATTTTTTTCAAACTTTACTTACTTCATATTAATTTAATTAATAAAAATTTATCAGAGTGATGCCGCCATCTGTCGATGATTAAATTATCTATAAAATATTCAACAAAATAAAAGGCAAATTATACATACTTATTCAATTAATATAAATAATAATAAATAAGCATTTGGAAAAAATATATATTTTTTAAATTTATAAATATATATATATATACACTGTTCAAGGACGGGTGTATAATTGTCTACATTGTTTGATTTCCTGTTAAGAACATAAAAAAATAAGACACAATAGTAATGATTAATTACTTTATATACATAAAAAAATGAAAACAAACTTGAGTTGTAGCTAAATTAACCTTTAAACATAATTACTGTACAGTTAATTTAGTTTTTTTATGCCAAAATCCGATAACGTGACTGTACGGAATGATATATAATTCTGCGTAGATGATTAATAATTCCTACAGTAGTTAAAGGTCCGATAAAGTTTATATCATCATTTAAAGCGTAAAGAATGCATTTAATGGGCCAAAACAGTGATTTTTAAATGCTTTTCCTCCCCCCTCTTCTCCTTTCTCCCAACCCACAGATCCCTTTGGATTATTTCCAATTTAGATAACATAAGGAAGGAAGAACTAGTAGTCCTCAGCGTGTAGTCGAAATATATTTTAATATATAAAGGATACCAGCTGTTAAAATGCGATTTAGAACGGATGGCATATATGTTCGAGAAAGCGTGTTATAGAAAAACTAATTAAAAATTTTTATATATAAAAACAGGAAATTTTATAACGATTTATATTTATGTATATAACGCGCCATTTGCATTTTGAACAATAAAATAAATAGCCTTTCGCTCAATTTCTTTTTAGTGTTTTATATATTTAGCATTCATAATGAAAGTAATAACATTCGAAAGCATTCCCTCAACAATCCTTTCGCAATTTCTCTACAAGAAAAAAAAGGTCAGGTCAAGTCAGGTTACTTTTCCCCCAACTGTTTAAACATGACTGCTCACGGTGCAATTAGTCGAACGAGGCACGCATTTATGGAAATCCATAACTTATTTTTTTATGTTATTATGTAACTATAAACGGATAAGTCACGCTTTCTGGTATACAAAGAAAAAAATAATAATTCCATTTTTAATATAATTAATATTTTAAAAAAGTTATTTATATAAGTTTTGATGAAGTCCTTCACAAGCGTGGTTCCCATCTTACAAACCTTTGCTTCGTTTTGTAAACTTGGAGCCATTTTTATGATTTAAATAAGTTTTTAACGTTTTCGCGTTATCCTATGGGCAATTACCTAGGGCCTTCACTAACAGGGGGCCCCAAACTAATCTTTTATAAACTTATTACTGTAGTAAGAATATCGAAATTTAAATTTAGGCAGTATCTAATTGCCGGTGTGGCGCAGGTGCAGGTTACACTGGCAGTACCGGAGGATTCCCCCGAAGAAAAATGTTTGAAGTTAACATTGTATATGAGGCCCACTAATTCAAATTTGTCTGGGCCCCCACCAAGCTATAACTGATTTGTAAGTCGATAAACAACGATTACTTTAACTAGGTCTGTGTAGTTATTTAATTTGTTATATGGAAGAGAAAAGTCCAAAATTTTAAGTATAATTATACTAAAACTGATCGAAGTTCTTATATCGTTAAATGTCTTTCTATCTAGAACAAAAGTTTTATTTAATTTTACACGTCATGTATAGAAAATTGAAGTAAATAGAATGAATAATTAGACTATTAGCATGATGTAAAGTACAAATATCTGTAGTTTCTATTTTAACTTATCATAAATTTTAAATTTTAAAGTTTATATCATTATATTTTATAGCAAAGATAGTTTTAAAGGAAGTGTTTTATTAGTTATTTTTATAACAAGTTTATTTCACAGGTTACAATAAAAAGAAACAAAGCTCTTAACTCGCTTCAATATATGGAATGTGATTAATATGTTATGACATTTTTAACACGAAAAATAGCATATATTATACGGAGAATATAATTGTTTTTAGTTATTTTTCGTTTTATGATTCAGTTATAAGCACATTTAATCTTTTAACTTATAAATAAGTATACAATTCTGCAAGTATTCTAAGTTTTTCTCTATCTTTGGAGCGCATTCTAAGAGTTTCAAGTCTCTTTAATGCTTTTTTTTCTGTTTTCAGGTTATAAATCTCTCCAAAAATATTTTTAAATATTAAGAAATGGAAAACCAAAGCGATATTTTCTCTAAAAATACGAAACAATTGTGAAAAAAATATAGAAAATTTTGATTAAAAAGTAAGAAAATGTGATATAAAACAAGCATAAAAATCATTTGAAAAGTTAATAATTAAAGGAAAAATAACAATAAATTAAAAATTAAAATAATATTGATTTAATTAATTTTAAAACTTACAGAACTGAAATCGCAAAAGTCTATTTTATAAAGAAAGAATTTTATTGTTAAAACTGTAAAAATTCGAAATAAATTTTATCCAAAGAAAAAACAATAAAATAAGTTTAAATTTTGAAACAAAAATTGAACATTTTTTTAAGCTAAAAAAACACTTTTATTATTTACACGAAAGACATTTTATAAAAATTTGTTATTATAAAAAATATTTTAGATAATAAATATATAATTAAGTTGTCAAAAATCCTTCATAAATAAGTCCTATTTAACATTTTAGTACCGTTCTTATCTTTAAAAATATCTTAAAATTTATTTTACGCAATTTATCACTGTTGCACGTAGTCAAGAATGACTTAAAACAAAAATCTTATCATCAAATTTATATAGGTTATATAATCAATATTAATTTAATTTTTGTACATTTTAATTTGTTATTTTTGAAATAATTAAAGAGAGGGAAGAGAGGGAGAGAGAGAGAAATTCTATATGTATTTATATAAAATTAACAAAATTATAAATCTAATTACAGAGATAAATATGCAAATATTTAAATTTATTATTAGTTGGTTGGTATATGGTGCATATAAATCGATTCTATGTTTAGGTAACATGATTTTTGAAAGTTACAGAGTTCTCTAACAACAAAATTCGATCGGCCACTGACCGCTTTTTCACCGGAAACATCCGACTATCGTACTTTCGATGACCTTATTTACAACTAGATTTTACCTTGAACTTGAAAACCTCTCTTGACAAACAGTTAAATTGGAAAGTATGCCAGTCAGCAGGGTC